ATATATATATATATATATATATATATATATATATATATAAGTATTTGTCTGCATTGGCGTCGCAATGTCTAAATTCATATATATTTATGCTAGCCAATCAGCTGGTCACGTGACCAAGTTGGCGATTCTCCGTACTAGAGGTTCTCTAATGCTCAACCTTGCCTCTTATTGATATCGCTAATTTGCTAACAAATATGTGTTTACGCAAGTAATGTGAAAGACTTACGCAAGATGGCTTCACCGTCGTTAAGTCAAATAAATCGACCGATTCGAACGGATGCGCGCTCTTTGGACGTTTCGTTTTTCCCGCGATGAAAATCGTACTTTTCGTCGTTCGAGTGCTTTAAGCATTCGCGATGTGTTAATTGTGCTTCAAGTTCCATCCTCACGACCGGAAAGAACCGGACAAGTCCGCGGAGTCGCATTTCTTCAGGTATGTTATGCATCAGTAATCTTCTTACAACTTATCACAAATAATGATGGACAATATTTTAAGAACGGCGCAGAAATCGTGTTATATATTTCGAAATATCTCATTATTCCTGCACGCGCATGTCGTTAACGATAATTGCGCAGATCGTTCGATACAACGCAGGAAGAAAGCAAGGATGTAATGCTTGCACGTTTCTTTTACATCGTATAAGGTATATTATTTATTATATCTTATGTACATTCAACATCGTCTTGACAACACCATAGGAAAAATGTTTTAGACATGTTCCAAAATTTGTCGGCAGTAACTCTTTGCTTGCTTTTTTTTTATCTTGCGTTTTTCTTTATACAATGAATCGAAGACACACGGAGGCGATTCGCTTAACCAATCTTTATGAAAACTCAGCTCGGCGAGTGTATATAAATTATCGTGTGTACGCATATGTGTGTATGCATGTTTGATGATAATGCGATGCAAGTGGATCTGTGTGTGGATGCTGTATCCGTATCATGTGTGTTGTGTGTGTATGATCTGTATGTGTGTGTGCGCGCGTGCTATGTGAGTTATGTATAATATATGGGACGGTACCTGTAATGCTTTACTTCTTTTTTTTTCGCTGATTTCATCGTTTTCGTTTTTTCTCGAAGCAGGTACTTTGACAGAGTTCGCTGTAGAAAGAGTTTGTAAAAAGTAAGAGTCAAACAACGCGCTCGTTTAATTAACGCCTTAACTAAATAATATAATATTAATAGCTGCGTACAGATCCCGACGATCGCATATCTCTCGTTTTTTTCTTTTCTTTTTTTTTTTTTCTTTGTTTTATATCACTGTAGCTGTCAATTTCTCGTTCGTCTGATACTTTACACACGATGGAGTTTCCAACGAGAAAACCCCCGCAAAAGTAGGGAAAGAATGAGCGTTGCTCTGCCCCATATCTCGTCGCTAAATAGTAAATAGATAACTTACGATAATTGGAGCGTTTGCAATTTAGTCAGATCTCTCTAAACAATAAATAAGTTTCTCTTCTTTTAATAAATAGTAGTATAGTTTCGTTAAAATCGATTAAAGAATTAAGTGAAAACGCGAGAGGCGGTTCAACCAATTTGCTCTTTAGCCATTTGTCGTTCTCACTTCTTATCTTTCTTTTTTCTTCCACTTTCTTTCTACCTCTTTCTCTGACACTCTCTCTTCGTCTCTCTTTGTCATAGAATTAAAAAAAACAGAAAAAATTAGAATAAGATAAATAAGACAGATTACCATAACAAAGACGTGCGAATTTTGATTTTTCAAGCTTTTTCCTGCCGCGCGTGTTTTATCCGATTCTCCGTTTATACACTCTTGAATAAAGAGTATTCACGCGTACACGAGATCAACGAAAATATTTTACGTTGTGGCATAAAGTATGATCGAAAGCTTTGAAAGTGTAACGCGTACTCTTGTCTCTCTCTTTTTTCTCGTTTTGTTTTTACAAAGATGAGCTTAATCTGAACATACGGGTATGGGGGAGATTCGATGGAACGAAATACAGGATCGGGCAGTCGTACGCGAGATACTTTCGCTCTCAAATTAACATACGTCCCCTATCACGGTTTCGTTCGCGTGAAATTCCCGCACGTATTTCTCGCGCCTACGTGGCCGTACGTGTGTGTGATATTGATAGAGCTCTATGAAAATCTAAATATCGATTTGTCGAAATCAACAACATCCTCGAAACTTCAGGTCGCACTCGCAGGTTCGTCGCTAAAACACAGATAGTTACAGCTTGAAAGTTCTTAAAGACCACACTCTCTCTCTCTCTCTCTCATTCTTCTCTCATCCCACTCGCGAAGGCCCGACCGAACATTATTAGCGATTCAGCCGCATCGCGAATTCGACTCATAACTTCTTTTCGTTCAGTTTTACTTCATCCGGCATTTGCTTTCGGTCGGAACTTCGCGCGATCTCATCGCCACTCTTACGTTTTATCTTACTTTTTTTTTCGTTTAACCTTTAATACGAACATTTAGGAAGATAGCGCTATCGATAATTAATATCTTCTGAAATTTGTTAACATTCTCTATATAAAAATCTGCATTTGCGTGTATTCACTTATTGCTTCTTAATCGTCGCCGTTTCCGTAGCCTTCACACACATACACACGCACACATACCACACACACTCTCTCTCTTTCTCTCTCTCCCTGTCACACTCTCACTCTCTCTTTCTTTCTTTTTGTTTTTCCTAAAGGAGATTTTGCTCTCGTTGCGCGGCCCACCGCGCTTCACCTCCTATCCTCCTCTCGCGACGAACGCGGAAGGCAGCACGCCGAACCGAAAGACACCAGGGCGTATCTCGGTGTGTTTTCCGTGTGTGCTCGGAGAATGATCTCGAGCAACATCTCGTTACGAGGGGGGAACGACCGAAGCAACGTTGGATCACCTTTGAGACGAGCGACAACAACCGACTTTTTTTTCCCAGTCGCCTTCAGTGGCCGTGACTCGCGCGTTTCCACGCGATCAGGATAAAGAGGGTGCGCGAGGGGAAATTATTGGATAATTATGGCCGGCTACGAAAGGCTACTACGAAGTTCGCTCCGTTTTGTCGTTGTTTATACGCATCCCGTCGAGGAGGACGAAATCACGGCCACCAAAGTGCGCGCTCTCCTCTCTCTTTTGTCCTCTCCGCACTTTTGTCCTCTTCGCCGTCTATCTGTCTGTCATCTACCGTCGCTTCGACGTCGTCGACTACTACATCACTAGCGATTTTAAAAACCGTTAAATTAAGAAATTTTCCCGCGGCTCGCCGGACTCACTTGGAAGCCGAAGTTAATCTCACGCGCAATATTCCCGTATACCTAACGTCCGCCGCCCCGTTGGTCTGTCTGTTTCTTTCTTACGAGGACAAGTCGCCGGTAACGTATATATTCCCGGGTGTAAATGCGTGTTATCGCGTGCCCCTCACGAAGCGCCCGGGAAGCAGTCTTTTACGATCAGCGCGTTTACAAGACACGGTGGCCGTATCTTATTCTATTTCGCGGTGAGGCGAGCCTCCTTCTTCCGCTCCCTCCCTTCCACGCGTCTCTCTCGCTCTCTAAGAAAAAGAAAAACAATTTCCTATTAGAGATATATGCATAGTGGAATGGACGTTGCTTCGCAAGCAAACTCCTCGACCGGGCTATGAGAATCAAACTGCCTGCCCACTCGATCATCGCGTCGCGCGACTTCGTTTCGCGGCCCGCGCACCGTAAAGCGCTCGTGACGAACGTCCACCGAGGCTGCACGCTCGCGTTCGCTTACTTTCCTACGTTTGTTTCTCGTTCCCTGGCTAAAACTCTCCTCTCCGCGTTTCGCTCGTTGGAAAGCTCGGAGGGAAGAACACGATCGGCGATCGATCGGAATCACCTCGATCTGATCTCGACGAAGCGATCGCGTGTATCGTGTACGCGGCTGTCCCTTTCGCGCTCGCGTTGCATTCCGGATAATGTTGATATGTTGACGCATTGCTTGCCAGTTAGGGACGCCTGTTCATTTTCTATCCCTCTACCTCTGTCCTTTGCGTCACGTCGCGCTCTTTCGTTAACCGGACGCGATCTCCTCGTTCCTTCGATTTTTTCGCGTCTCCTACCGATGGAGAGTGCCTCTCTATCTGCCTTCTCCCTTCTACGTATCGAAGTGTGTCTCGCGCGCGTGTATTTGTAATATAATATCTATCTTTATATGTACGTATTATATATAATAGTAATCTCGTATTCGGTGATCGCACGCTCGTGTACATACATTGTATAGCGCGAAGGGCGGCCTGCAAATTTCTCTCGACATTCGTCGTCGATGTAGCTTCACACCACGCACACATGTTTTCTCATTTTCTCTCAATCTTTCACTCTTTCTCTCTCTCACTCCCGTTCTCTCTCGTGGTCGCGTCACACCAGTATCGCGCTACAGTAACTCTTGCACACTCGCGTTGGCACATGTCCACTTCTTGTTCCGTCGTGCTCTCGTTAATCGACAGGTATCTGTACAATAGACCGCGTATGCACGACATACTCTCATGTAGGGATAACGTAAAGGCAAGATTCGTGATTTTTTTTGTTTTCTTTCTCCGCTCGATCGTCCCTCGTCGAATGACGAGTCGATGATCAAACCGTCTCGCTGATACACGCACTCACATTCTCGTCTCGTCCACTCGCCACTCGCTCTTGCGCGTTTCTCATAGGCGACGTATGTACGTAATAATAGCAATCATTGGGATGCGTTCTCGCTGTGTTGATGTAACAGAATGTATTTACACTACAATTGTCACGCTATCGATAGAATCTCGGAAACTATCAGTGGTTCGTTAATTTCTTTTCTTTTTTTTTTTTTGGTACGTATTGTTCGCGCGATGCGGTGCTTTCTCTTCTCTGTTACCTGTCTAGTAATCCGCCGTTGCTCCTTATCAGATGCGTGAGAGATTTATTATATCGGTCGTTACAAAGAGACGTAGCTTTACAAGTATACGTAGGAAAAGCGAGGCCAGGAGCAGACGTGTTCGAATGGCATTTTAGGCCGTGTAGTTCACCCGTTCGATGTTCCCGCGCATCGCGGTTACATGCGTATGTATACTAAGAAGGAGCTGTCGTTTGGATTGACAAAGTGTTATAAAAATCTTCTAGCAAGACGAATGGAAATTGAAAGGACTCGAGATAGCAGTCTCGAGTCACGCCGGATATAATTAAAAAATAGAAAAACTATACAACGTATACAAAGTTCGGCGGTTCGCGCGTCAAACTATAAAAACCAAGAGCTCTCGTAAAACGATAAAAAGAAGCCCAACGCGAGTTTCGCGGCAGTGATTACTGTGGGATGGCTTGTTCGTCTCCGTTTATCAGTCTGATCTCTGCGCGGATCGGTCACGGAGACGGCCTAGGAAACGAAAGACTTGAATCGGCGCTCGTTGTTCGCAACGGGCGGAGCTGTTTGCGTGTATTACATCCGTCCCGGTGGGAACGTCTTCTCCTGGGACGTCCTCTCCTTGGACACGAGCTTCGCTCGAACGACACCGTTCGTTCGTTCGTTATACCTTAACGTTAACGGGATACCAGCGTCGTGAGTGATCCCTCTGACGCTTATAGATATCGGTTACGCGGAAGCCTCGTGCAACGGGTACTTCCGTACGGATTCGAAGTAAGTCGTTGTACGTGTTTCGGCTGCGAGATGCCGAACGTGTGGTCCTCGTACTCCCTGTCGGTATCTCCTCCTGCTCCTCGTAAGAGGAGATGTAATAGGCGCGAAGAATGAATTCTCTCGACTCTCTCGTGGACTCCACGTGGAATGTTTGCGGTACGAGTACCTTTGTATCTCTCTCGGATCAAGATAGAACCTCCGCGGCTCACTAAGATTTAGCTTCTCGATTTATCGGCTCTTCCTCCTACGCAGGAAGAGATACTCTTTCTTTCTCTCTCTCTCTCTCTCTCTCTCTCTCTCTCTCTCTCTCTCTCTCTCTCGAGGTCGCTCTGACTAGGTAATTAATGAATCCTAGATGATACACGGATCGTCGCCGCCCGGTGTTCGCTCTCTTCTTCTCTTCTCGGCGAGAAACGGCGTGTCTGGGGCACCTCGAGGCAAGTAGCAAATTTGTGAGATCCATGGGGGGGAGTTTGCGATGTTCCGTGCCGATCAGTCGATTGATTGCCCGCTTACGTTATACGTACGATCCCATTGGAGGATTTCGCGAGCGGCGCGATTACACGAGGAATCCCTGCGAGGTGGCGGACATCTGTGCCCGCAGCGCCGTCACGCTGTTCATGATCTTCTTCTGGTGACCCACCAGCGTGATGCCGAGGGAGGTGAGCTCCTGAACGGTGACGCGCGCCGCCGCCTCCAACGTCGTCACTCCCGCGCGCTCGAAGCTCTCCGCGTACCGTGACATCTTGATGGAGGCCAGCCACTCGCTGACCGACGTCAATTGCGTCAGGTCCACTGCGTCCGGCGCCAGCGGATTGGTGCCCCTGTCGAGAACAATGGATCAGAACGCGTTCTGTTTTCATCGAAGGGGTACATTCGAAAAATAGGGGATCGGAGGAGGCGAAGGTACGTTTTGTGAGATTCGTGAGATTTCTTCAGATCGTCTCGATCTGAATACTAGTGCACTGACATACTTGTTCTCTTGCTATCGACACACACATTCACATTCCCATAAACGCCTAAACGTACGATAGTTATGATAGTTGGTAACTATGATAACTATGATAGTTACGACAGAGGTCTGAGGATACCTCGGCCGTTTGCTATCGCCGAGGAGGATGAAATAGCGAAGATCCTTGGATCTTTTTAGCGTCTTTCTTTAATTCACTCACACACGCGATCGTTCGTATCTTCGCTGTTTCGTGGAACATTGGGACATATAAGGTGCACTCGTTCACGAGTGTGGAATTTCGTTCAGCTATCGGCAATGTATTGCTAATACGGATGGGGTCAAAATCCGAGCGGTCATGTTTTACAAAGGTAAAACGTAACCGGATTTTTTACACGGTTTTATGTACACTGAGAGGGAGATGTTGCCGGCAAAGTGAAAAATCCGGCATTATATAGAATATTTAGGTATTATACTTAGGCATTACATATAAAAACTGATAGGCATAAAATGCTTAGGTGTTCTATACAATACTTGAGTTTTACACAATGCCAGTAATATACACACGTGTGTTCAGATAGGTACAGTTATATGTACAGTTCGGAGGAAGCGTCTCACACACATACGTATTTATGTGTACATATGTACAGGATAATTATGGTCTGGTCATTGAATGTAAAGAATAAATTGGTCGAAACTGAAAACGAGCGTCTAGAATAACCATCGGAAATTCTAAAATAATTGCTCCGCTCGTATAATTTATTCGACATATTCTCGATGATATAATAGCGAGCGCATAAAACGAGTCTTATCCTAGATGAGAATCGCTATTTAAGTATATACATTTGAAGCAGCGATCTTCTAAGTCGTTTCCTACGGTTGTACGCGGCGTATATCGTATGATGGCGCGATCGATCTTGCATATATTGCACAGACACTGCGGATTATAGAAACTTAAAAGAAACCGAAAGGAGTAGGGCCGATTGCTCTTATCATCGTACACGTAAGATCGATTCGTCTTGTGCGTTTTTTTCTTTTTTTTTATACGACACTATGTACACGCTAAAATACATAAATATACGAGTGCAAGCGTACAATTTCTTTTTATCTCGACAATGGACGACGGTTAAGAGTAAAACTAAAAATAACGATTAAAGTAAAGGTAATGGTAAGCTATAAGAGGTAAAATTAATGATAGTGTAATAACAAGTAATGATACATATATAATAGTAACATGGACGCTATAATAAAAGTAACGATAGCTACGATGACGACAACGACGACGACATGGCGTGACAATAACGAGGACAATAATAATGCTAATCGCTAATGACAGTGCTGTCGATGAGAGTGATGCATGTAACGTGTGTTAGTGGTGCACGGCTGGGCAGGGCTTAGGTGTGTATGTACACGTGGATGGATCTTTTGCGGTGCCTATATGGAAGCAAGCAGTGCGACACAGAACTAAGGAGGGTACACAAGCAGGGCGATCGTGGCAGATATACGTGGCGGCGGTATCTCGTTATCGGGTCGTAAAAGAAGCAGAGAGAACCTGAAAGCACAGTCTTGATTTTAATTCGAATCGACGGAGCTCTTTGAAAGGGCGATTTTTCGTATCTGGGGCAAACGGACGAGACGAGAAACGATTGCGCTTTGTTCTTCTGCGCTTCTTTTCCTTCTCGCGTTCTTTTCTTTTTATTCTCTTATCCGTAAAGGAGGAATCTGTGGTGTGGGAATGCCGCTTTTTGATTTTCTCTTTTCTTTTTTCTTTACCTGTTCCTCAAATGCACGTTGGAAGATGCCGACGAGGCGGGTGGGGGTGGGGGTGGGGGTGGAGCACCCCTTTCCCTGATTCTGACAATTGTTAGCATTTGTTAGTGCGATGGAGGTCGTACTAGGTGTACTGTGTTATTATCTGCGGGCTAGTCTCTCATATTCGCGGTTCTGACTCGCGAATCTCTTATCTCTTTCCTATCATTCACGTGCGCGTATATGTGTGTATGTATGCGTGTGTGTCTCATGTGTGCTTGTATCGATGCGGATGACCCTCACGTTACAATTTGAGTAGCTCTTCGAATAAATATAAATTAATATTTATATATTCGAATCTATATAAATAAAACGAAAAAAGAAATTAAATTTTGTTAACGCTAGTAATATAATTACACAAGAGAGAAATTTAATTAATGAATCGTTCCTGTGGTCCTATTATCATGCGAACGTTCACTTTTGCTTTCGCGGCTTAATTTTTGATACTGAGTCAAGCGTTCGTGACGTTTGCGCGAAGAAAAAAATATCTCACGCGCATATTTTTTCAATTGATGAGCCGCGTCAAAATCAGTTGTTCTTTCACAATGGCGCGTCGCGACGCTTCTTCTTCATCGCGTGCCTCTCGGGAATTACTTTAGAATTGAACGTTGCGATTATGATCGTTTTCGTCTCGACGCGGCAATACGAGCAGGCACCGCGCGCAATTACGCAGTCGTCTCTCTCCTCGTTTAATATATTACGTATAAAAATACTATTCTAAAATGGTCAACCGGCTGCACGGGTGCTGTACATATGCTAAGAAGTCTGCAGCTTTCCGATAAAACCAACAGCTTCGATAAATATTATATGACGTATAAGTACTTGTGTGTACTATGTTGCATCAATTGCTTATGTTATACAAGTATGTGAGTACTCGTGTTGATTTTTCATACGTATACGGCATCATCACAGAATCAAGGACGTTTCTTTAGTCTGTAGTCCCTCCGACGACTGTTCCTTACTCGAAAATTTCGTCGGAAGGACGCGTCCAAATTGCTCGAAGAATTCGCAGCTGGAGAAGTTAACGATAATTCTGTGACGTCCTGCATGATTCTACGTGTATGTGTGTTTATGTGTTTATATATATAATGTGTGTGTGTGTGTGTGTAATCTCCTTTCTCTTTTTTACGTATACTCGTGATGCACGAAAGCTACAACCACTAATATGTAAAATTATTACGAGACATCTCTGAAAGACTTCTAAAGCTGCTCCCACGCACACCATCCTTGATCTTCTTTCGTATTCTAAGCTCTGATTCGCATAAAATCTATATATATTGCTATTCGATGCTCGGATTTATTCTCTAAAAAATTCAGACACTATACGATTCTTAAGTAACACGACTTATATTTTCCGGCGATTTTAATCGACCGCGTACGCTCTAACATTTAAATACGGCCCAGATTTATTGCTCGGTTGCGCAACGTAAAAATTCTCTCTACGCGCTCTAACATGTAGCGAACCTACGTCTCTTCTCGCGTCGCTCGCTTTAATCTCTATGTCGTTAATGATCACGGTAAAAATACCGGGAATACGAAACTTTCATATAACGACGCGCTCTTGCCGGCTGCAACTACCTACACTCTACCTACATTCGTCACATCTAATAACGCCGTCTGAGAACGCGAATTGAGATTACTAATTTCTACCGCTCTATCCCGTACGGAACGTAGTCTCTGCGACTCCCTACTAACGCGATCGCAAAGAGCAATGGAAGAGTGCAAAAGAAATGAAAAACAACGCGAATTGCAACGACAGAATGCAGACTTCTGCGAACGCCACAAGCTGACGGCTAAGAAAGTACGGGCGGAAAATTCGACAACGCTTAAAAATTCATATTTCTTTCATCCTTTCTCATGATCTCCCGTTCCCGCTGGTGAATCGAAGAGCACCCTCTCTCAGCCGAAGTGGGTGAACGGGACCCAATTGGGATAGGTGAGCGGTGGTTGTTGGTGTGGCAGTGCGTGTGTATGATAATGTAAGCTACGGCCGGCTCCTGGTGGCATTACTGGAACGGCAATCGCTGATTGACCGGCTTGATGAGCCTGATGGCCGACTATGTCTACGAACGGGCCCGCCGTGCTGGCGGCCGCCGCTGTGCCTGGTGGTGGTGGTGGCGGCATCGCAGCGGTCCCCGCTGCCGCCGCCGCCGCCGCCGCCGCCGCTGCCGCCGCGGCCTGGGCCGCGGCTGTGTGGCTTGTGACATAGTACGGATTGTGTGCGGGCGGCCTCACGCTGCAATGGCAGGACGGACGAACGGACCGGACGATTGTCGTGGACGGATACAGTCGTCGCAGTTGCGTTGGGTTGTAGTTCGTAGTCAGGTACCAAAGGACACCACAAAACCAAAAGCACAAAGAATTAGCCCAAGGAAGAGAGAAAGAAAGGTAAAGAGAATGAAAGAGAAAGGGAGAGAGAGAGAGAGAGAGAGAGAGTGAGAAAGGAGAGACGCGCGCGAAGAGAGACGGTTAGGGGTGAGAGCGCGATGACTTCTGTATAGACGCGGACTATAGTAACTACTCTTCTTACTTCTCCGGCGCGTTTTTAATTAGTACTGGAGATTGAGACGCGAGACGTGCTTGGCTTGGAGCGGATGTAATAACGATCGAGTCGTCCGTGCCAATGAGGTGGTCGTAGGACTAAAAATGTCAGGAAGGAGACTTGACTCTCGATCCCCGCTCAGGGTTGATGAGTTTTGACTCTCGCGCGACTCCGACTCGGATTGTATCAGAACGCGAAATCGTGCGAACGCGCGACTTGTTCGCGTAACTAACGCGGATTCGTCTCGGGAGTGTTTTGCGGGTACTTTACGTCGATCGCAAATGCAAAACCCTCGACTCCTCGTCAAGACCTGTTCGAGGGGGAAGCAAAAAACGCAGAGTGCGAGACCTAGCCCCTGTGTGTTATTGCACATTCACCGTGAGGTAGAGCCGCGTCTCGCAATAAGGGACAACTGCGAAGTGCGAACTGTAGACGCGCGAGGAGCGGCAGAAACGGCAGAAGCGGCGACAAGCGACTGAAAGCTCTGTTGAGAGGTCGACGACGCGCAATGCGTGATTTTCTTTTTTAGCTACGCGCTTCCGCGGGAAAACGCGCCAAGAGATATCCTACGTAGCTGCCTAACGACGTAGACTCTCGTCCATAAATTAATTTTCCCGTCAGCTAGTGCTGAAAAACCACCGCCGCGGCGGAGAGAGAGAGAGAGAGAGAGAGAGAGAGAGAGAGAGAGAGAGAGAGAAAGAAAGAAAGACAGACAGAGAGCGTGGTGTTTCTTATACGGCAGAGTATATTCAAGCGCGAAGCAGCGTCCTGCCTCAAGAAGAATACAAAATATGACTCGTGTAAATATTCTTGACGAAAAGTGCGGTGTTACTGTGATATAATTAATTTGCGAGCAGATAGAGAAATATAGAGAGAAAAGGAGAGAGGATAAGAGAGAGAGAGAGAGAGAGAGAGAGAGAGAGAGAGAGAGAGA